CTTCTTGTTGGACTTGCGATTGTACCCCTTTTCCATGTGCTTCTTTTCCTGAACCATACTGGTCACCATATCTTGAATCACTTCCATCTCTTCGGGATCGGCCTCTCGGATCATCACTGCCATTACTTGCTTGAGAGTCGGCATGAGGGGAATGGCAAGGCTGATGAGAACCTTGACAACTTGTTCCAGATGCATCTGAAAACGGAGCTTGGAGAAAAGGCGACACCACTGTTTGAGGGCATTTCCTGTCGTCTCCGCCTGGGATTCCAGGCACGCACGTTTGCTGCCGCGGTTCTCCATGGTCTCGGACATGATTGTTACAATCACTGTTGGATGCAACGGAACAAGATGGAGTCTCTGCAGTGCTCGACACCTGAGGGCTCGATGCATGAACCTGTGAATCACCTGCAAAATGCAATTCGGACTCACCCGCTTTGGATTGATCGTCACTGTTGCGCTGTTTCGATTGCCTATCCATTGAGTAACACCAGCTATTATGCCCCGCAGTCGACATTTTATCTATTACTTCATGTTCATCATGTTTTTTCCCCATGTACATTTGGTTGCGGCACACAGCCGTCAAACTGCAAAGTGAAAACCTGACACTCATCACCAAGGATTTTCCTGGGCTTCCATGATCTGTTCGGCTGATGGCATTCTGGTGCAAGTGCATCAAAATCAAACAATCGGAGACAGAGCTGACCTCTTTCGTTGAAAAAACATCTTTCCAGATTCATGTAGTGCTTGAAAATGCATTCGCTGCTGAGACAGGTGCAACACTGCATCAAGTTCTTTCATGACTGGAAGTGATCACAAAAATGGAGCGTCAGTTGTGTCCTCTAAGACTGCTGCATGCACTACGCCAGGTCGGCTGCCAAAGCACACTGGGATTAGGGCCACTTCCTTGGTAGTTGTCTCACCACCGATGCCAGAGAACCTTGTAAAGCGTTTGGGCTGAAACTTTATGGCAAGTTCTGGTGGCAATTGTTGGGCAAGCTTTTCAAGAGTTCTCCTACCAATGGCGGACCTCTGGCATCCCGTGTCAATCACGGTACGGGGAGGCAACACACTTGCATGAAAAGACGGAACGACCGGGCTGTAATGTTCTGTCACGACAACTCTTGGATAACTGTTGGACTCGAGGGGTTGTGCTACCTTTTGGCCTCGAGAGAAACCTTCAGGAAACGACTGCAGGACATGTCAAATGGCATTGTTCACCTCAGGAGATTTATAGTTTTGTAATCCCACGACCCTACTAAAGCAAAACTTATCTACTTCAGCTGTCCATGCGGTCATGGGACATACTTCCTATTGGACGGCACCTGCTTCGGACTTGGCATTGGGCTCTGTTTCATCAATGGGCTGTACAATCGACCACCAACTGTGATTGGTGCTGGCACTGGATCCGGCTGCAGACCCTGTGGACGACGTGTTCACCTGTTTGCGAGGACATTCCTTGTGCCAATGACCCAAATCTCCACAGGACTTTCAACGTTTCAGCTTTCAGCTGTTGGAGATCACGGCGCGCGCCACCACCCTGCTGATTGGAAACATTGATTGGTCGATACCCACGGGAGTTGCGAACCTCTTTCTTTTGCTGCTGCACCTGACGATATGACATGTTTGTGGGCTTACTGATCTTTTGTTTGATTTCAAAATTTCACGGGCCCCCTCTTCTGAGATTTCGTCAGCTGCAGTGTTCCTCAGCATCTAAATCCGCCAAGGCCTGTTCGATCAGCTCCATGTCATCATCTTCATGATGCAGATGACGGTTCATCCTCATCCTCTTCCTCATCATCATCTCTTCTCGCACCTCTCCACTGACGGTTGGCCTGCATCTTGCAAGCTCCGACCTACCAGCTTTGAACTCCTAAAAGGGGATGGCAACAAACAGCAATCAACGATAGCTGCACACCATAGCGCTTGTTTTGGACAGCGCGGGCACACGTAACCAACCCCTCGAGTCTCGAGGCAAAAGCAACAAATATTTGGAATCTGAAACCAAGCATGTGTCGTGTGGTAGCAGGAGCATCAACTGACTTGCACAGACACCCAAAATGAACGGGCCTGAGTTATGAAATTCAGAAAAGCGCTAAGCCCCACCGACTAGACATTTGCAATGCCTGCAACGCATAGAAAAAATTACACCGGCATAGACCCCAGATAGAAAAGGTTGGAACTGATGGTTCCCAACGTGGGAACCAAAGGTTACCATGGCAAGGAACTGCCGGTTCCCAGACCTTGAAACTTACGGTTCCCAACCTGGGAACCAATGGGTTACCATTGCAAAGAACTTCCGTTTCCTAAAGGTTGGAACTGATGGTTCCCAACGTGGGAACCAAAGGTTACCATGGCAAGGAACTGCCGATTCCCAGACCTTGAAACTTACGGTTCCCAACCTGGGAACCAGAGGTTACCATTGCAAGGAATTGCCGGTTCCCAGAAGTTTGAATTTATGTTTTCGAAGCTAAACAACTTTCATTGCAAGGAACTGCGGATTCCCAAAGTTTGAAACTCATGGTCCCAAACCTGAAAAAGTATACGTTATATACCAGTGGAAGGATCTGTTGATTCCAAAAAGATAGAACTCATGGTTCTTAATGTTGTTTTGCTTTGTTTACTGAGCCGGTAACAGATTCTTTTGTTTTGCTTAATGGACCGGTAGCGGAATGTTTGCGTTTGGCTGTTGGGCCGGCATAAAAAATGTGTTTGCACGAAAAAGGTGCATGTCAAAATGATATGAGAACAGTTTCTTTACAATTTTATGGTTTTGCTTAATGGACCGGTACAGAACGCTTTGTTTTGCTTAATGGACCGGTACCGGAATGTTTGCGTTTGGTTCATGGCAAGGAACTGCCGGTTCCCAAAGGTTGGAACTCACGGGGGGAACCACAGGTTACCATTGCAAGGAACTGCCGGTTCCCACAGGTTAGAAGTCATGGTTCCCAACCTGGGAACCAGAGGTTACCATTGCAAGCAACTGCCGGTTCCCAGAGGTTGGAACTCATGCTTCCCAACCTGGGAACCATAGGTTACCATTGCAAAGAACTTCCAATTCCTAAAGGTTGGAACTGATGGTTCCCAACGTGGGAACCAAAGGTTACCATGGCAAGGAACTGCCGGTTCCCAGACCTTGAAACTTACGGTTCCCAACCTGGGAACCAGAGGTTACTATTACAAGGAATTGCCGGTTCCCAGAAGTTAGAATTTATGTTTCTGAAGCTAAGCGGCTTTCATTGTAAGGAACTGCGGGTTCCCAAAGCTTGAAACTCATGGTTCCAAGCCTGAAAAAGTAAGGTTACCAGTGGAAGGATCTGTTGAGCGCCAAAAGCCCAATGAAAGAAATGAACAATTTTTGAACACATATTTAACCCTAATTCATCCTAAATCATCTACAAATGCTACTTAAGCCCCCTGATTTGTTGAACAGGTTATTGGTATGTTCAATAAGATGGTTGCCTTTGATACAGTGTCATCAATGCATTGTTTGCTGGGCCAGCAAAAGTCCATCAAACAACCTTATGCTAATGTGTTGTCTGTAGCCAGCTGCTCTCACACCAATGAGCCATGGTGCAATCTGTCACCCTTGAAGTTATATTCTAGTTAATGGTGGAAGTACATACAATGTTGAATGAACAAGACTTACTGTTTGAGCTACACAGCGCAGCAGTTGATCAAAGAAAATGCAGCATGTTGAGCTGAGGGCAAAACTGCAAACAATGCAATTCTTCTTTCAGTTGCTCTCACTGCCCAAAGAGAAACATGTAGTTTATTAAGTTTGTACCTGTGCTACATTTCCAGAAAACAATGCTTTGAAAACATGACATTTGTAAAAAAAATGTAGTCTTCATTGCAAATATGCAGCATCCCCTTCACCCAAAAAGGTGTTGAGATGATTTAGTCCTCTACAATGTGTATTGTGTTTGAAGTGCAGCATTCCTGTTTTCTTTCTTTACCATGGCAACATTCCCTCCAACAGATGCTGTTTTCTTCAAAGATTGAATACTTAACCTAAAACTGCAACCTTGTTAAACAACAGAAACGCTATTGTTTCTTGCTATGCAGTGTATCCTTTCAAGATGTAATACTCTCCTCTCAAAGAAGCTCAGCTGTCCTTTATGTTCGAAGGTAACACCGTTGCTTTGAAAATCCTGTAAAACTCCTTTCAAAGACAGCTGCCATCTGTTTGGAAAGGAGCATCATTTATTTGAAGGAAAGGCTTTACTCACCAAACAAAATGAATCAGTTGCCCTTTTGTTTGAACATCATACCATTTCTTTGAACATATGTAGCACTCCTTTCAATCACACAATTTCTTTGAACATATGCAAGACTTCTTTAAAAAAAACCTAGCTGCCCTCTATCTCTATTTGGACAGGAACACCATTTATTTGAAGGAAAGGCTTCACTCACCACAAGGAAAATTGTACATTCCCAAAGGCCTTACACCTAAAAGGAAAATCGCACATCCCCAAAGAATACCTGCGCATGTTTAGCATACAATACTTTTTTGATTTTGGCTTGTGAAAGATGCATTTGATAGACACATGATGCTTTAGAGGCCACATGAATTAGATTTGGTTTGGATTAATCTGGATTAATCCTAGGGATCAGATCCTCGAACAAAACAAAACAAAACAACAAGAACAAACAAAAAACAACAATGCTTTCCAGACTAGTCTGAACATTGCTAGATCCAGTAGTCCCCAAAACATTGTGTTTTTTTTGTTTTGTTTGGGTGGCTTAAGCACTCTAAACTCTATCTCCACTAGAAAAAGGTTTGTATATGGACAGCAAAAACCAATATTGTTTTAGACCATGTAACATATTTAGGGAAATATTGGCTCTTTGCGTGCCCACAACAAGCCTTTCTGTTTTTTTTTAATATTAGGGATCCCTTGTACGGTGTCTGTAGATGAGACAAAGACATGTACCAATCGCTGTTGAGAGAAGGCAAGGGTGAGCAGAGACCTTGGAGGATGCAAGCTGTTGCGCCTAAGGATGGTTCAAACCTGGATTTGCGACGTGTTTTGGGTTCTCGCCCAGTGGGGTCAACCACGACGTATTGCATTGCGCCCATCATGGCACCTTGGCTAAATACTTCGTGTGTAACCTGTTACAACAAACAAGATTTTGCAGTAATCATCAATTTAAGTATATATGCATGCAGGGGGTGAGCCGCATCCCAAAATTTGTCTTGCAAGACAATTGCAAGATAGGCTCCGCTACCTGCTTTGTATCAGACTGTCACTTCACACAATCTTCATGAAAATTGGCTTTGGCCATCGGGACCATCTTTCTGTCTAGGCTTGACCCCACATGAAAACCGTCGCACTGAACTTGCCGAAAGTATGGCAGCAGGGTTTGTGCAAGCAAAGCTACCGGTGAATTTTGCAGGTATGTTGCGATGGTTGGCTGGTGGGTGAGTTGATAGTTTGGTCGATGGGTTAGCTGATTGGTTGTTTGATGATTTGGCTTGGACGTTTTCATACCCTTAATATCTCGCTTTTTGTTTCTTGTTGTAGGTTTTTCGGCATCGGCAAAGGAAAACCCTTACGACCATCCGAATCCACCTATCTATGCCTTTATCTAGATCCAACATTATCGACTACCAAACCTTACGTCCTCTATGTTGAGCGTCACTGAGATTTGTTTGTTTTGTTTGTGGTTGGCACCTCAGGACTCCTCTGCTTCAAAGCGCGTGCACTTCTTTGCGGCAGATGTTGACTGTTGCGAGCCCCGCCGTAGCTTTGCATGTGGCGATGCTGCTAAGCCGTCTGCCAGGATCCTAATCAGAGAAGGTGGAGGGAGTTAGAGCAATTCAAAATTCACCAGGGCCCAATGCCCAATGATATCCAGGCTTGATATCCAAGTAATTCTTTGGCATTTTGTTTCTTTTGCTTCGATTTTTTCCATTCAGACGCAATGTGTACCTGGTTTACCTCGATGATGGGGATTTGTTCCAAAAAGGTAGTGTGGGTTTCAACTTATATAAAACATTTGTCCCTGGGCAGGTACTTTGTGTGGCAAGTTATTCTTGATAGGGACGGCGCAGTCAACAGCAGACGTATTTATATCATTTTATATCTACTAATACGCAGACCAAAGCTACAATATCTTTCACCATTGCATGGACTCACTGAATCCCTTTTTTGTGGACCTGCCCTTGTAGGACTGGGGTGGTGCTGCCTGCCCATTCTTCAAGTTACAATGCGGAGAGGCCGCTGCGATCCAAAATTGAGTCCATGTTGGAAGTTCAATTAGCTTTTCCTCGTCGCTGCTGACGGTGGAATTGCGAGGAATGGATTTTGGATAGCATCATCCATGCTTGTTTGGTTTGAAACCAACCAGCATGCACGTTCCAGAACATGTTGTAGCAGGTATTTTTTCAACGGATTTTCATTCTTTTTGTTTTCCGGTTTGGGATCCTTTTATGGCTTTTAGCTTCTTCGCTTTCTTGGCTTTTGTGGCTTTTGACTTATCGGCTTTTGTGGCTTTTGGCTTCTTGGTTTTTTGTTGGCTTTGTGACTTTTTGGCTTTGTTTTATTTCTTTCTGGTCTTTGTTGTTTGTTTGGCTTCTTGGCTTTGTTCTTTCCCGGCTTCGTGACTTCTTGAGCTGTGTAGCATCTTGAAAATATGCTGCAGCTATCGTGCAAACAACATGGGAAACACTGGGAAACACGACAGCAAAAAAAGAAAGGCAAGATCAAACATCAAACAACAAAAGCAACGGCAGGTTTCTTAGCTTAAAGTGCTGCCAATAGCATGGAAATGGCAGATTCAGATTCTTCGCTCCGAAGCTTCCGTGGCCGTAGTGCAGCTTGACTGTGGCTTGTTGGATTCTTGACTCGGTCGTGGCTTTTTGGCATTTTCGGCAGTCATACCAATTCCAGCTGAAAGAATCACAGCGACATAGCAGCAACAGTGACAGCAAGCCCCAACAGCACCGAGAACAGCAAGAACGATAAAGCTTAGAAGGACAACAGGGATGACAAAGGAAAGACATGGAAAGACCGAAAAAGAATATAAACTAAATGTAAACAGACCAATCGATGATAAACCCTGGTTTTGCGGGCATTTGCACTTATCCATTTGAAAGTCTTGCCACCACATTATCATTTTATCGGAGACAAGGCTGGAAGTACCGTGCAAATAGAGGTTCAATGTCCACTATGCACAAGTTTAATCTACAATATACTGCAACTATTGTGAAAGCAACAAAGAACACACAAAACAAATGACACAATAGTTTGACAGGAATGTTAAGAAAGACCACATGCAACATCCAACATCCAACATCCAACAACAATAGCGTTAGCAACACAAACAACAGCAACAACAAGAACAACAGCAACAATAACAACAGCAACAACAACAACGACAACGACAACGACAGCGACAACGACAGTGACAGCAAGACCAACAGCAGCAAAGCAACACGAATAAAAATAAGAAGAAAAACAAGAATAACAAGAGGAACAACAAGAATAAACGCAAGAAGAAAAAGTAAGAACAAGAAGAATAGCAATAATAAGAAAAACAGAAGAACAAAAGGAAGAAGAAGAAGAACAAGAACAACAACAAGAAGAACAAGAACAAGAAGAGCAAGATCAAGAAGAAGAACAATAATAAGAAGACGAATAATAATAATAAGAAGAAGTAGAAGAAGGACAAGAAGAATAACTATATGACTAAAAATAAAATTTACAAGAAACACATAATGAGAATAATAACAAGAAGAATAACAAGAAGGATAAGAAGAAGAAGGAGAAGAAGGAGGATAATAAGAAAAATACAAGAATAATAAGAATAAGGAAGGAATAGCAAAAGGAAAAATAACAAAAAGAAAAACAAAAGGAACCAGTACAAGAACAAGAAGAAAAAGAAAAAGAAAAGAAGAAAAAGAAAAGAGAAACACATAATAAGAGTAAGCAGAAGAGAAAGAAGAAGAATAAAAACAAGAGTGCTCCAGATACTAGCTGCACGACTAGCTGCAGCGGCAAACTGCTACAGACTTTTTCAACAACAACTGGATATTTAGTCTCCAAAGTGCTGGAAGAAATATGCAGCTGAAATTTTGTTTTGTCTTGAACAGGCTCGAAATCCGATGCAAATAACAGATTGCAGTTCCAACAGGCTGCAAAGTAAAGTGCAAGTGAGAGATTTTAGGTCCAATATATATCAATAATATATGCAAGGAAAGCCGTACCAGACTGAACCCTCCCAAAAAAGGAACCATGCAGAAAATCGGCGCCCTCTTGCGTCGGTGACGATACGCCAAGGTGGCAGCACTTTTACAATGCTGCCGCGCAGGCAGCTGAGGTGCCTTGCAGGTATGGCCATGGAGGTGCTGAGGCGCTGAGGTGCTGACGTGGTAGATGAACTCATCGTGCGGACTTTAGTGTCGTACAGTGTAGTATAGTGTAGTAGCCTCGACCCTCCAAATCCTTTAAAAGAAAAGGTGTTTTCGGAATTTGACCTATATCGCCTGATTTTACCCAAAACACCTAGACACTACTTTGGTCTTCGATTTTAGGACTTTGATTGCATGTTTTTGGGCTTGGTGAGACAAGGCCAAAAAATGTTTGCAGCGCATCAAACGACTGGGGATAAAACCGGCAAAACCCCGCAAAAAACCCGCAAAAACCCGCGAATCCTGAAATCTCGTTGATTTAGGTAGTTTTCGGATTTTTTTGTTGTTCCAAAAATCATCACGGTTTGTGTACCCGTCTGTAGTGCTGAGATTTTCCCAGAAACATACATGTTTGGAACAAAGTGAATCATTTGTTGGTTTGTTTGACCTATCTTCTTAGAACGACCATTTTTTTCCTCGGCAGTGGAGGGTCGAGGAGTATTTCTTGAAGCGGGAAGCCACTGAAACCCTTGGAAGAGCTCACGCATGGAAATCTTACGAGCTGTCCAGTCCCCACAAAACCAAAAACGTATCTGATTCAGTGTGTTGCTGTCTTTCGTACCAGGTAGCGATTCTGATCCTTGTTGTCCAACCTGTTGTCCAACCTGTTGTCCAGTGATTCTGATCCTTCAAGGTCTACGGATGGAACCTTCCGGAGCGGCCGATTTTTGTGCGCTGGTTTGATGATGCTGAGGCTGTCAGGATCCCCAGCTGGGTGCGGGTTACTGTCATGACGACAAGGAGTGGTGACCAAAGGTAATGATGATAATATAGCTGAGAAATTTTCAAGTCATAGCTTTTTGGTTCAAGGATGCTAAAAGAGTGCGTAAGTGTGCAAGACATGATGATGTGTAATGTTTGAGTCTATATACACTGACTGCTAGTATTTTTAAAAAATCACGAAAGCTAGCTGTGCTAGCTGAAGTTGCTCTTGCTTTAGCAAGGAATAGGCAGGCACCACGACCATTGGAAACCCTGAAACTTTCCAGTTAGACCCCCCTCTGTTTTTGTTTTGACTTGAATCCTACGTGGGTACATGCATGAGTATTGAGCACATTTATATGCGCCCTTCAAGGCTCAAGAGAGAGATATAGAGTAACCCTGTGGACACCGCACCGACTGGCAATACGCCGTGAGTAAAAGGGTGTGAAGCTGTCTTGGGAAGACGCTCTAGCTGATCTATCCTAGACGCTAGTGCCCCTCTTCAAGTGGTAGCGGAGCTGTGATCCTTCATTGAAGGTGAGCGCCAGGTAGAGCCCAAAAATGCCCCGCCATGGCTATGATGATGATGACTTCGACATTGTCGATGCAGATGGATGGAATCAATACGACTCCTATGCAATGAGAAGAGCACCTCAGCAGCCCTCAATCCATATGACGCAGCAGACGACCACGAAGGTAGCCCCTGCATATGATGGGAGAGCCAGCTTCTTTGCATTTCAAGATGCCATTGATGACTGGTGTGACATCACGCGGAGTTAGAACCTGAAAAACGTGGACCAGCTTTGAGAAATCGTCTGGGAGGAGAGGCTCAGCAATACAAGAGGTTATTAGACAGAGAAATGCTCAGGGATCCCCATGATGGAGTCAACTACTTCAAAAGATTTCTACGACCTCATTTCATCAAAGGTGCCCAAAACGTGTTCTTATACCGTTTCATGCTATTCATGAAGTACAACTGCTAAACTTGATGCACCGTACTCATGCGCCACGTAGTGGCCAAGACATATGTATGTAATTTTGTAAAGAGACGGATATGAAGAATTCAGTGTCATGTGAAGAAGGTGCTAAGAAATCATCAGCTGCGCGAGGATGACACGCATGAAGAAGTGTGTGCTACAAGCCTCTTGTGCTCACAGCAAAAGGTGCTACCGCTTTGCATGGTAGCGGAGCTCAGTGATCCAGATTCCTTTGGTCTCTGGTGAGAGCTCAGTGGGGACAGGACCCGATCCCCAGTATTTGGTTGCCTCTAGTAGTTGCCTTCCTGTGCTAGCCATTGACTGCCTGATCTGCGTTGTCTAGCGACTGGTTCTATTGACTGCCTTGCTGGTTGAGCTCTAGGTGTGGTTAGCGGAACTTGGCCGCATAGAGCTACAATGGATCAATCGCAACCTGTTCTTGTTGAGCAACAACCTGTTGCAAACCCAATGGAGAATGTGTTGAACCAATTGATGCAAACATCACAAGCAGCAATTCGCGCAGCAGAATCAGCAAACGCGTTGGCAGCTCAAATCGCTAGTTCTTCGTCAAGTTCTACCAGCGGACCTAGTGCTGATGATGGTAGAACAACAAAGGAGTTGTCAAAGGAAGTTTAGGGGGAGAAACTTCCGTGTTACGGACTTTTAGAATGTCAGGGAAAGAGTTAGTCAAAGAAAGAGTTCGCAAAGAAAGAGTTCGTCAGGGAAAGAGTTAGTCAAAGAAAGAGTTAGTCAAAGAAACAGTTAGTCAGGGAAAGAGTTAGTCAAAGAAAGAGTTAGTGAGGGAAAGAGTTAGCAGTTAGTCAAAGAAAGAGTTATCAAGAAAGAGTTAGTCAAAGAGTTAAGAAAGAGTTAGTCAAAGAAAGAGTTAGTGAGGGAAAGAGTTAGTCAAAGAAAGAGTTAGTGAGGGAAAGAGTCAGAAAGAGTTCAAAGAAAGAGTTCGTCAGGGAAAGAGTTAGTCAAAGAAAGAGTAGTCAAAGAAACAGTTAGCAGGGAAAGAGTTAGTCAAAGAAAGAGTTAGTGAGGGAAAGAGTTAGTCAAAGAAAGAGTTAGTGAGGGAAAGAGTCAGTCAAAGAAAGAGTTAGTGAGGGAAAGAGTCAAAGAAAGAGCAAAGAAAGAGTTAGCAAAGAAAGAGTTCGTTAGGGAACGAGTTAGTCAAAGAAATTGTTCCCTCACTGTAAATGGGATTGCAAGTGGTGCTGGTGGAGGAGTTGCCGATGGAGTTTTGAAGGAAGTCTCGCACGAAATGCGTTTTTGAGAGAGCAGATGCACGAAACCCTATGTTTTTCCATACAAAGTGCGTCCCCGAACGTCGATGATCTACCTCTGCGGTGCGATGGTTGCGAGACGGTCTCGTGTGTGGTCGGATCATTCTCGGATCATGCTCGGATCATGTTCGGATCATGTTCGGATCGGTTCCGCATTGTAAATGGGGTTTCACCTGTGTTTCGTGCATTTGCGGTCGGCAGAATTCCATTGTGATTTGCAACTGTAGGATCGTTCCCGCAAGGTAAATGGGATTGCAAGTGGTGCTGGTGGATGAGTTGCCGATGGAATTCCATTGTGATTTGCAACTCTAGGATCGTTCCCTCACTGCAAATGGGATTGCAAGTGGTGTTGGTGGAGGAGTTGCCGATGGAGTTTTGAAGGAAGTCTCGCACGAAATGCGTTTTTGAGAGATAGCAGATGCACGAAACCCTATGTTTTTCCATACAAAGTGCGTCCCCGAACGTCGATGATCTACCTCTGCGGTGCGACGGTTGCGAGACGGTCTCGTGTGTGGTCGGATCATTCTCGGATCATGCTCGGATCATGGTCGGATCGGTTCCGCATTGGAAATGGGGTGTCACCTTTGTTTCGTGCATTTGCGGTCGACAGAATTCCATTGTGATTTGCAACTGTAGGATCGTTCCCGCAATGTAAATGGGATTGCAAGTGGTGCTGGTGGATGAGGTGCCGATGGAATTCCATTGTGATTTGCAACTCTAGGATCGTTCCCTCACTGCAAATGGGATTGCAAGTGGTGCTGGTGGAGGAGTTGCCGATGGAGTTTTGCAGAAAGTCTCGCACTAAATGCGTTTTTGAGAGATAGCAGATGCACGAAACCCTATGTTTTTCCATACAAAGTCCGTCCCCGAACCTCGATGATCTACCTCTGCGGTGCGACGGTTGCGAGACGGTCTCGTGTGTGGTCGGATCATTCTCGGACCATTCTCGGACCATGGTCGGATCGGTTCCGCATTGTAAATGGGGTTTTAATTGTTTTTCGTGCATGTGCGGTCGACAGAATTCCATTGTGATTTGCAACTGTAGGATCGTTCCCGCAATGTAAATGGGATTGCAAGTGGTGCTGGTGGATGAGTTGCCGATGGAGTTTTGAAGGAAGTCTCGCACGAAATGCGTTTTTTCTCCATTTTGGCGCTAGTGATTTTCCTTCTAAAAATCCTTTTAAAAAGTGCTTCAAAATCTTCTTTTTTTTCGCTCCGGCGTCGAGATCCGGTTTTGAAGCTACAATTTCCGACGCCGTTGCGCGTAGTTCTCTTGTGTTTTGCAACTCAGTCTCCGCAGATCGCATTGGAATGGCTGCGTCAAGGTTGCTTCTTGCTTTCGCTGCATGCGTAATGTCTTTTGCAGCTGGACTTCGTAAATCGTATTGGAGTGGCTGCATGAAGGCTGCGACAGTGATTTGTCAGCAGATTTTCTCCATTTTGGCGCTAGTGATTTTCCTTCTAAAAATCCTTTTAAAAAGTGCTTCAAAATCGTCTTTTTTTTCGCTCTGGCGTCGAGATCCGGTTTTGAAGCTACAATTTCCGACGCCATTGCGCGTAGTTCTCTTGTGTTTTGCAACTCAGTCTCCGCAGATCGCATTGGAATGGCTGCGTCAAGGTTGCTTCTTGCTTTGGCTGCATGCGTAATGTCTTTTGCAGCTGGATCTCGTAAATCGTCTTGGACTGGCTGCATGAAGGCTGCAAAATGGATTTGTTAGCAGATTTTCTCCATTTTGGCGCTAGTGTTTTTTTGTTGCACGTAGGTTTAGAGCAGTGTGAAGTGTGGGGCGTGAAGAGTGCAGTGTGAAGTGTGCAGTGTGAAGGAAGCAGTGGGAAGTGAGAAGTGTGAAGTGTGGAGTGTGAAGTTTAAGTTTGGAGTGCGAAGAGCGCAGTGTGAAGTGTGAAGTGTGAAGTGTGAGGTTTGGAGTGTGAAGGAAGCAGTGAGAAGTGAGAAGTGTGAAGTGTGGAGTGTGAAGTGTGATTTTTTTTTTCAGATTTTGGCTGCTTGCAAACACCAAAGCTTGGCAAATGCAAGTTTTGCGTTTTGGCATCGAGATCCGCCATGCAACTTGTGTGGATGCTGGACACATAGCTGGTGTGAAGCTTGCAAAACACGTCCGCCCACTACAATTTGTTCGACGTGCGACGCGGCCAAACTCTTGTGTCAGTCTTGCACGTCGTGTCACCAGCTGGTTTACTCCGAGGCTTCACAGAAGCCACAGTAGCAACTTCCTTTCCTCCCGGAACTGGACGTGCGAAGTTGTGTTCCGCGTCCAGCATGGTCAAGGCGGCGCCGGAGAGTCAGACGAGCACGGCGGCAAGTGTGCAGCCACCTGTGGTGAATGACTAGAGCGCCAAAAGTTCAGATTGGGGCCATTGGAGAAAGCCGAAGTCTCTGGTACGCTTTGCGTCGCCACAGAACCAAAGCTCAGTGCGCAGAATGGCTCAACATCTTGCACACAGCAACAGTACGTGGTCTTGCCGCAGAGGGATCAACTCTCGTTTGACTGCCGAGGGCTGGGTGTGCGTTGTTGTGAACCGCATCCGAGTCTGAATTGCTGTGCTTCAGTAGCTTCGCCTTTCATTTAGGGTTGCAGACGGCAGAATGCCTGTGTCACTTAATTTTCGTTTCTGTGTGCGTTGTTACGAACCGCACAAGAAACCATGATCGTATTGCATACATGTGACAAAAAAAGGATCTTTCAGATTTTGGCTGCTTTCATTTTCTATTT